TTGCTGTCCTACACATACAGAGTTCTCGTTCCTCTTGTTTTGTTAGGGGGAGGCACTGAGCAGAAATGGGGACGGAGCCTCACCTCATCCCCAGGACTTTTAAAAGCTGTAACCAGAGAGGGGACTACTGCAGTGGTGAAGCAGATTGGGAATATGGACACTGCTGGCCATAGATGACATTGGAAGCATGGACACTGATGGTCATGGAGGGCACTGGGAGCATGGACACTGCTGGCCGTGGGTGTTTGCTGTGTCAGGAAGACCATCTGAGCCAAGAATCCAACAAACAGAGGCAGCAAGCTCAAATGTCCCCAACCTGAGCCCAGGCCACCTACATCTACTCTGCATGTCCTTCCACCAACCCTTTTAGAAAGCCCCCATGACTGCATGTATGAGGGCTGGAGAGGGCTGGCCCAACTCCAGCTACCATGTGATAAAAAGATAACTTCAGACTGTACCTTGACCTGAGGCACTCCACTTCCCAAAATGACAGTTTTGACCTGAGTCATTCTAGTTTGAGTACAAGTGACAGGTAGAATGACACGCTACTAACACATGTAAGAGCCACCACAGTGTATGCCAGGAGGCACAGACAGACCAGTTATTGATCTGTGCCAATAAAAAGTGGTACCTGTGAACAGATCAGATTCCATCAGCAATGCTAGCCACGGTCTTTAATCACACCAGAGGCAACCTCACCTGCGACCTTAAAAACGGGAGTCTTTAAAGTATAGCAACACTCTGACCCATCATGTGGCTACTTGTCCTGTCTTCAACCAGGAAAATTATCACAGTGAAGAACTCTACCCACTCATCTCCAGCTCCAGTTCAAGCATGGCTCTGCCTGCCTGTGGCATGCTGCGCTCCTCAAACTCTCGACACTACTTGGACCTTCCCTCAACTGCTCTGCACTGAGCAGCTCTGTGTCCAAGCTCTGTTGTGAATCTCTTATCTGGCCACTGTAAGTGCAGGGACGTTTCTCCACTCTGTTTTAGCTTTGTCCCTTTGGAGCCTCTGTGTCCTGCTCGGGGCCATTCTAGGAGAGCCTCAGTTATATTGCTACAGGGAGTGTAACATGTGATTGAAAGTTCTTAAAATTAGTAATGAAGATTAGGATGGCATAAAAGAACCTGTGCTGGCCAAGTGGCCACAGACACAGAGTGGAATAAAAGTACTCACGAATAGCAAATTAAACTGACAGCCCATGAAATAAATAAATAGTTGTTAAATAAACTAAAACTGTACAGAGACACAAATGTGTCCCTCTGTTGTTGGCATAGCTTGTCCATGACAGTGACAGCTGAATCACTCTCCCTTCCAAGGAAGAGAACATCTGTTCTTTACTGAAACATCTCCACAAGCCTCCCCTGGCATGATTCTTCCCTAGCCTTTAACTGTTCACTGCTCTCCAGCTGGAGCTGAGGTCCCCACTAGGTTTGTCCTGCTGGTGTGATGTCACCTCCTGACTCCAGACTCACAGTCAGCAGTAGCGTCACTCCCCCCCCCCCCATTTGTAGCTGTTGCTGTGAATCTGGCAATGACAGTTCCATGGGTGTCTCCGATTGTGGCTGTCATGCAAAGTGGGAACAAGTAAAATGATTTCTGTCCTTGTCAGAGACAACTGTTCTTGGAGACAGCTGTTGCTGTAAGAGTACGCCAGTAAATGCTGCAACTTGTACGTAAGTCTGTATGCTCGAAATTCAGCTCATCAAAGCTGATGCAGGATGTGATGGAAATCTCGAAATCCATGTAATCTGCTGAGTAAATGAGAATTCAAATAAGAATCCCTCAAGGAAAATGCCAAGCTAGCAAACTTCATGGAAGTTGCTATAAAATACAGTAAGAACTAATTTCCATTTAGAGAAACACTGTTTTCTGCAAACAAAGGAGGGGTCCATGTTCCAGTTTGTCATTGTAGTAAGACCCTGTTACCAAACACAGAGGACCTTGTAAGAACACAGCTGACAAAGTCCTTGTTAACTAAGATCACAAAGTCTCTAAAACATTAATACACCTGCAATGCAAAAAAAAAAAAAAAAAAAAAAAAAAAAAAAAAAAAAGGATACCATATCCTCACCCAGAGAGTGGCGAGCAAGCCAGGGCTGACAGAAAGGGTGTTAACATGCTTGATCACATCGTGAACATCGCACTTGAGGCTCTACCCACAAGTGCAAACACTTGAGGTGGCTGGCTGTCCAGCCTGGAACCCGGAGGATGGGCGGAGTGTGCATTTCAACAAGCATCTTCATCCCTGAGAATATGAGACTCTCCGTCCAAGAGACCGCCTGTGGGAAGGCCATGTGTGGGATCTGAAAGGAAGCAGGCTACTGCTGACTTCCAAAAGGAAGTGGCTTCCTCAGGGTTTGGGGTCGCATAAGGAGTATCTGCAGCAGCTGTTTTGCAAACCCAAGTACCCCGGGTGGTGGTGGCGCACGCCTTTAATCCCAGCACTCAGGAGGCAGAGGTAGGCGGATCTCGAGGCCAGCCTGGCCTACAGAGTGAGTACCAGAACAGCCAGAGAAACCCTATCTCGAAAACCAAAAAAGGAGAAGCAAACCCAAGTGCCCAGCTGAAGCCCGCAAGTGCCACCCAGTGGCAGGGACTGGAATTTGGGACACCCCCCTCCCCCGAAAAAAAAAATGTGTGATGCTATGACATAGTCTGCAGTTCAAGAAACAATATCCAGAGTGCTCTGCTATGGGGCAGGGACACTGCCTCTAGTTCTGACCAACATTAAGTGACCCAGGAACCTGAAATCCCCATAATGCCTTGGGTGAACATGTAAAATCCGTGCCTAGAGAGTTCAGACAAATGGGAGTGGCTATCAGGATCCTGGACCAGGGCTCGAGGGAAGAGTTTTTCCTCCAAACCCAAGAAAAGCTACCTGAGGGACTGCAATCTTGTCCTCACGTGGGCAGTGTCCAGGAAGCGGCTCTCAGAAGTTTTCGCCTGTAACCAGCTGGTGACACTGCCCATGGAAGAAGGGAGCCTCTAGAGGCTGAGCAGAGTGCGGGACAAACAAGAGCCCCATATGGGGATCTGTAGTGACACAGGACCAGGGACCGTGGGAATCTGGTCTACCGAAAGGAGGATGCCCACTGAGGGTGCGGTCCTGCTGGGTCTGAGTTCTTCCTCTAGTGGGATTGGGTGGGTGAGTTTGAGAGTGGATGTCAGACAGAGTGGGTGTCAGAGGGTTAGAAGCTGAGCCTGGCTCCCCACACACTTGCACACTCTTTCTGCATGCCTGCCGCTTGCCGCCTCAAAAACACTCTTGTTGAGCAATACGCTTGCCGTCCTTTGCCAGGTAAGATCCCCAATCTTTTAACTCCCTCGACTGGTGTGATATTCTTCTAAGCAATCCCCTTTCTTTATACATTACTTGGTGCCAGGTGTTCTGTTGCAGCACCCGAGAAATGGACTATGACACGATTTTCAGGCCGGGCTGGGAATTTGACCAAAACCACTCTCAGCCTTAATCTGCAAAGCCTCTCTTTCCAGTGAACAGTGGTGAATGCAGACTCGTGGCTGCTCAAGGTACTGGGAATAAATAACGGGTGAGTGACAGGCCCTAAACAAGGCATCGATACCATCCCCTCCACGACTCAGGGAACACTGTAGAAGAAAGGACAGAGAGAACGCTGGAAGATAAAGACAAGGACTGTGCGGTGCCATCTTCTGGGCAAGACAGAGCGGTGGGAATCATGAACTCATACAGCTGTGAATGCCTGCACTGGGTCTGCGTGAGAATGGATGGCAACAGACAGGCATGGGTGGAGGAGGGTCCCAGGGGCTTTATCAACCCCCGACACACATACACACACGCACGCACTCACGCACGCATGCACACACACACAGCTGAACTATTTTATCCTCGTAGATTCAGAGAGAGGAGTGGGGGGAATCACTGTTTCCAGTTGCTCGTGCACTGGTGACCCCACTGGGCTCCAATGGATAGGTCCAATCAAATGCTTGCTGCATTGTTTACTGGCTTGCATGTAATTGACTCCTGTGTCTTGATATCTCAGGACTTCTTAGCATTTCTGTTAAATGAGTGTTTTCGTGTACTATGTGGATTAAGTGAGGTAATGATAATAACAACAGTAATAGCTAACATTTATTTGAAGTCTACACTGGTCCGCATATTATTCTGAGAAATTTGTTTTGATCATTTAATTATTCCGTACAACAAAACTCTTGAGTTATAGGTCATATTTTGTCCCCATTTTTACTTAGAAAAGAAACTGAGGCACAATGAGCTTAAGTAACCTAGCAAAATTATTTGTCTTGGGATCTAAACCCTTGATTAGAACTCATTAAAGTTGGCAGCTAATAAGCCAATAGACTACTGGGGCTCAATACCTAGTAATTCCAAAAGATAACTATAAATTTCTCCACCTACTGAGCTGAGGAGTCAGTAGTAATCACTGAGTTTAATTTGACTTCTGTGCCAGCCTGTTTTAAAACTTTTGTACTTCATATAATGCTAAAATTGATGTATATTAAAATAGATTCATTGGGCGCCACATCCTAGGAGACAAATAGGCATGCATCACTGTACTTCCCTAAAATAACATGACATTTTGATGAGGGATTAAAGGAATGCATCTTAGTTATAAGTGGATAATTTATGGTCAAAGAGATAAGACATTGGATGGAAGACTTGTATCAGGATGCCTTCTAAAATATACCAAAAGATGGAAGTATTTATGCTAGAAAAACAATAGCTGATCATGCAGGCTAGTAGTCTGCATTCCCATTTAATATCCTTGTGTACAGACTAGTCTTTCCCTAGTAGATTTGTTATAATCACCCTGATTACTTGTGTGTCCTTTGATTCACATGACGTTGTTAAGAAATATTGTTTGGTTAGTCTAGGAGCAAGTTGGATCTAGATGAGTTTAGTGATACAGACACAAGTTACTTGGGAAAGTAAGTCTTTCTTACTCTACACGTAGAATTTTGTAAGGCTGCCTCACTCTTGAAAGCTTGCAACACCAATGAGCACTTTTCTCTTTGTAGCTTGTCAATTCTGGAGAGGATGTCCTCGTGTTCTACAATGACAGAGCCTCTTTCCAGACTCTGATCCAGATGATGCGGTCCGAGCGTGACCGGATGGATGAGAACAGCCCTCTCATGTACCACATCCATCTGGTGGAACTCTTGGCCGTGTGCACAGAGGGCAAGAATGTGTACACAGAGATCAAGTGCAACTCCTTGCTCCCGCTTGATGACATCGTTCGTGTGGTCACTCATGAAGACTGCATCCCGGAGGTGAGCAGCTTGGCCCTCAGGGCACCCTTCTGTCAGGCTCTGTGTCGCACATTGGGCTGTGGCTGGGTAGAGACATGGTGGCTGGCCTGGTAAGCCCTCGGGTTTAACACCCTACACAGCTCATGTTGTAAAAACTTTTCCCACCACTGGTGTTTTTCTGGATATTGATTTTCTGTGAAAGAACGGGAGGCACATGAGTCTCTGCTTCCTCACAGAGAGTGGGATAAAAGCCTCAGGGCTGTGGAACAAATTCAGCTCAGAGAGTATGTGCCCCATTGAACTGCCTAGAAGTGAGGCTAACAGAGAGTTGAGATATCCTTCACCTGAAAGTTAATTCTTTCAAGCAAAAACTCTTAGTACAGAGATAATAAGTGACCATTATACAAAATTTGGGAACTGTGGGTAATTGTAAGAAATAAAAAATGGTGTATAATTTCACTTCCTTCAAAGAGTACCTTCAAAGCTGGGTATGGTGGCATTTTCCAATTATCCCAGCACTCAGCAGGGAGGGCCAGGAGGATTGCCATGAATGTGAGACTAGCCTGGGCTACATAGTAAATACCAGGTCATACAGAGATACACAGTAAAACTCTAGCTCAGACAGACAAACAAGGAAATAAATCTCTTCACCTATTTTTCCCATTTCCCTCTGCATAGTAGCTGTGTCCTTCTATATCCTACTCTAGTGTTCCTGTCCCCCACTGTCACCATGGGATATTTGTACCCTGTGTGCAGGCGTATTGCTGTGATTGGTATAATAAAAAAGCTGAAGAGCCAGTAGCTAGGTAGGAGGTATAGGTGGGATTTCTGGGGAGAGAAAGGAGAAGGAGGAGGAATCTAGGTGTTCAGGAGACGCCAGGGGATGTGGAAAGGAAACAGGAGGTGCAGGATGGAAGAGAAGTGACACCATGTGATAGAATGTGGATGAATATAAGTGGTTAATTTAAGTTATAAGAGTTAGTTAGGAACAAGCCTAAGCTACAGGTCAAGATTACATACTTAAAAAGAAGTCTCCATGTCATTATTTGGGAACTGGCTGGAGGGACAGAAAAAGACTCATTACAATGGTTCCTTTTAACATCCCTGCTGTCTGTAGTTACTCCAGATAATATAGTCACATCTGAAGACTTGGGCCTCACAAATAAGAGAAAAATGGTGCTTGTCTTTCTGGTCCTATATTATCTCAATTATATAATGTTTCCTAGTTCCGTCCATTACCTGGAAATTTCATGATTTTGTTTTTCTTTACAACCGACTAGAAGTCCACTGTGTATCTACACCACGTTTTTATTGTCCACCATCAGTTTAAGGATATTTAGGTTGTTTCCATTTCCTAGTGCTGAGCCAATGGGGGCATATTACTTCAAGTCATCTGGTAATGTCTAATTTATTCTGGAAGACTTGCTCTCCTTGACATCCCGAGTCCATCAAGATCTCTCATTGCACTGCAGCCCTGTCAACACTTGATGTTATCTGGTCTGTAGCATGAATTCTAAGAGGTCTTAATAATAAAAACCCTGAGTCAGATATAGGGGTAAATGCTGGAAGATCAGAGCCAGCCACGAATTCTTACCTCTAGTGAATCCTCAGACCAAAGGGATGATCCTGTCCCTATAAATCCTCAGACTGAATGCTCTGAGCTCCTGTCTCCCCACGCCTTATATTCCCCTCTCCTCCAAGCCATATCCCTTTCCTGTCTCCACCTGTCTAGTGCTGGGATTAAAGGCTTGTGACTCCCAAGTACTGGGATTAAAGGTGTGAGCCACCACTATTTAACTCTGTTTCTCTTTTAGACTGGATCAGTTTTGTGTAGCCCAGGGTGGCCTTGAAGTAACAGAGATCCGTATGCCTCTGTCTCCTGAGTCCTGAGATTAAAGGTGTGTATCCCCACTGCCTGACCTCTTTGGCTAACTAGTCTGGCTAGTTCTGCACTCTGATCTTCAGGCAAGCTTTGTTAGATCATAAACAAAATATCACCACACTGGTCCCTTTTGTTTCAATGGGCTTATTGTGGAGTGGTATCTCCTGGTGCTCAGTTAATTTTCAAGTATTTACATACCAGATAATTCACTCGTTTAAACTGTACAAATAGTAGTTGTAGTCACAGAGTTGTATAGTCACCATCATCATCTGTTTACTCCAGAAGAAACCCAGACTAGCTAGTAGCCACTCCTTGTTTCTTTCTGGTTCCCCCCAGCCTAGATAGTCACTGATTTTTCTCTGCCTCTTGTGATCATTCGGTATAATTGAAATCACACATGCATGTCTTGTTCTGGCTGAATTATTGCACTTAGCATGGTTTTTCACAGCCTGTGCAAGTTTTACATGCATTGGTACTTGATTATTGCCAAGTAATACTTCCATATAGCCAAATACCACATTTTGTTTCTCCAGCCTTCACTGACACAGTTTTGCGCCCTTTCCACTCGTTAGCTGTTATAAAGGGTACTGCTGTGGACACCTGCTTTCATCTTTTGTGTGGACATAGGCCATGTCTTCCCTGGTTCACTCATTGCAAACACCTCCCAGCCTGAGCCATGTAAAACTTAATGGAGCCTTCGAAAATAGGAACAGTGCAGCTAAACTTGAGCTGCTCATTCAGAGTTTATTTCACACCATTTTATCTCAGGACCATAAAAACATTCTCTCCCTAAAGCATTATGGTTTTGAATTTTATGATTATGAATTTGGAAAATCAAAAGGTCACAGAAACAAAAGCCAGCAGGGGAGGTGGAATGCCACTGTGCGCCATGCCTGTCTGTGAGGAGGATGGAGCCGAGGGCTCCTCGGGTACTGAGCTGAATTTTCACAAAAGCTTCTTTCCTCCTGCAGGTTAAAATCGCTTACATTAACTTCCTGAATCACTGCTATGTGGACACTGAGGTGGAAATGAAGGAGATTTACACAAGCAATCACATGTGGAAATTGTTCGAGAATTTCCTTGTGGACATCTGCAGGGTGAGGCGTGTCTGTGTGTGTGTGTGTGTGTGTGTGTGTGTGTGTGTGTGTGTGTGTGTGTGTGTGTGTGTGTGTGCTGTTTGTCACTGGAAGCCTTCACTGTGCATCTTGGGGAGCCATAGGCAGACTTTGTTATGTGTATTTTTCCTCAATGTGTGTCCACCTCATTAGTTACTTTTCTCAAGTGTCCACTGCAATGATCAGACCTGACTGACAGGCCTACCTTTTCTGGATGACTGAAAAAATATTCCATAGTATAAAGCAGTCAAACTCAGCCAGGCCCTTCCTGAAGGAGCACTGGGTGGTTTGTTCACTCAAATATTTGTTCTTGGCTAATGAACCAGCCTTTTGCCTGTAGCCCTGCATTTCTTCCTCAGAGAGGAGTCTCTGCTTTTCCTTGTGAAACTCCTGCTCACCCTGTGACCTTTGTTTTCATAGTTCACAGTAGGAATGCCAAGCGGTACCAGCCAGTGAATTTCACATCTTAAAATCCCAGATTTCTAGCTGGCATGCATATGGGCCTACTCTTTCTGTTGTTGGTATCTCATGAAGAGAGCAGCAGCCCTGGTGTTAGAAGACCTTGTTTTGTGTCCTGATGCAGCTGTGGCCTCAGGTAAGTGCACAGACTGAAGGTGGAGACATGCCACATTCCCAACTGTGGTGAGGGATGAGGAGATGATCCTTGTTACACTTGGACATGGTAAGAGTAAAGATACTCATCTTGTTGAGTCTGCTTCTGGTGACCTTGGCCGAGGGCAACCGCTAGACTAGTGACTGTAGCTTCTCCCCTGGCTGACTCCTCCATTAACTGTGGGCACCTCCATACTGAATGGACTTGCTCCACTCAGCTGCATTTAGACCCAGGTGTGCTTGCTTTCTCTGACCCAAATGGTGCCAAATTCCTCCATTGTTGATGGCTCATGTGGCCTATAGAGACAGGAATTTAGCCACTGCCCTGTGCCTGAAAGGAAGTCCTGATGGAGGGCCAGATGATAAGGTCTCTGTAATCTGAACCCACCATCCCAGGAGTCCTGCTGATGTCATGTCTGTTTTAAAATCTTTTCTGAAGCCAAGCAAAGGCCCAACCTCGGCTAATATGGATGGAATGCTTAGATACAAAACAATAACCCTAGATGCCCTAGTCATCATGGGTCACTTGTCTGAAGAGCAGGCACAAGGAGCCCACTACTCCGCCATGTTCAGAGATTTGCCAGAGGGCTCCAGGCTGCAGATTCCAGTCTTGTCATCACCATAGATAGAAGCGAGTATGAAAAATATATTTCTGAGCCCAGCATCAGAGCCAAACCTTCTGGCATTAAGAACTAACTACACTTGTAGTGTTTTCCTCCTTCCCTGGTGTTTGTAATAGACAGGTGTGCCACTGTCTGCAGAACTGGCTGCCTGTTTTCCAGGCCAGCTGCCCTTCGGCCTCTGCCAATGCCTTCTTGATTCTTTCAGGTGCTGAAGGATGAGGGGAGAGAACGTGACCAAGGTCAGCACGTTCATCCTGCTGGGCTTCCCCACGGCCCCCAGGCTGCAGTACCTGCTCTTCCTCCTCTTCCTGCTCATCTACCTCTTTGTGCTGGTGGAGAACCTGGCCATCATCCTCACTGTGTGGAGCAGCGCCCCTCTCCACAGGCCCATGTACTACTTCCTGGGCTCCTTGTCTTTCCTGGAGATCTGGTATGTGTCAGACATCATCCCCAAGATGCTGGACGGCTTCCTCCTGCAGAGGAAACGCATCTCCTTCATTGGATGCATGACCCAGCTCTACTTCTTCAGTTCCCTGGTGTGCACGGAGTGTGTTCTCCTGGCTTCCATGGCCTATGACCGCTACGTGGCCATCTGCCATCCCCTACGCTACCAAGTCATCATGACCACGGGGCTGTGTGTCCAGCTTGTGGTCTTCTCCTTTGCTAGTGGCTTCACTATCTCTGTGATCAAGGTCTACTTCATCTCCAGTGCCACCTTCTGTGGATCCAATGTCTTGAACCACTTCTTCTGTGACATCTCCCCCATCCTCAAGCTGGCCTGCACCGACTTCTCCACTGCAGAGCTCGTGGACTTCATCCTGGCCTTCATCATTCTGGTGTTCCCTCTCCTGGCCACCATTCTGTCCTATGGGCACATCACCCTGGCTGTGCTTCGCATCCCTTCGGCCACGGGACGGTGGAGGGCCTTCTCCACCTGTGCCTCCCACCTCACTGTGGTCACCATCTTCTATACAGCCTTGCTTTTCATGTATGTGAGGCCCCAGGCCATTGATACCCGGAGTTCAAACAAGCTCATCTCTGTTCTGTATACAGTCCTCACACCCATCTTGAACCCCTTGATCTATTGTTTGAGGAACAAAGAGTTTAAAGATGCCTTAAGAAAGGCTTTGGGCTTGAGTCAAGCTCCATCATAGAAGGGAGGGGACCTTCTGATTCCAGAGCATCTCATGAGCATTCGACCTTGGCGATGAAGAGGTGGGAACACTTGACATTGCTGTAGTACTGAAGGTATTTATAGCATCATTTTTTTTCTTAGTAGACATAAAGGGCACTGTGTGTTAGTGATGCCATTCTATCACCTTTCGTAGATGAGCAGAGCTGGACCTGGTAAAATTGAATGCATTTCCCATCCCTTTAACATTATCACCCACATTTCAGAAGACAGCAAGCCCTGCTGGGCCAGGATGGTGAGGTCTACAGTCTCAGTTGGTTTCAGTATGTGAAAGTATGGAAATACTGAAACATGGCAAAACGAGCCCCAAGCATCCCCAAAGCGCAGTGTGTTTGGGAACTGTGAGAGTCCACAGACTTGTTATAACTCAGAGGGAATGATTTGTGACAGTTCTGGGGAACTAACTTTAGCCTTTTCTCTTCACAAAACTCTCCTTGCAGCTCTTCTGCTGCTGAAGAAAAAAAAAAAACAATAAAGTCTTTCTACTGCTTGAGTTGATTCGAGTAAACTGTTAAATGTGGACTATGTTTCCCTGTTGCTGTTTCTTAAAACGCACCACAGTGCCTGCTGTCTCTTAACCAACCAGGAGACAGACTGGGTGTGACAGCATATGGCATGTGAAGCAGGTCCCTGGGACAAGAAGACAGAAAGGAAACCCATGGGAGCCAGGT